ATTTGTTTCATTGGTATCATTCAACTTTTCTTTTTGCTAATTATTTTATATAATTTTACAATCACAAATAATTGAAATAATTCAGTCATAGCACTAAATATTAGTTGTAGTTGTAAGATATAATTTATTAGAGTGTTTCACACATGAATCAAACTTTTAGGAAAACATTTTGTCAAAATTAAAAATATGAAGCAGGGTAAAATTAATAATCATTTCAACAAGATTTTAGGTAATTTTTAAGATTTTTCAATGATTTATGAACAATCGAAGAATAGTTAAGTTAATAGATTTAAGAAGCTATATATCATATCAATGAAGAATTGAAGAATAATTTAAAAAGTTGATGCTAAATTCAGGATTCTAGGGTTGAGAGTGTTGATAACGCCGAGACCAGTCTTTCTATTTCTGTTTCTAATTCATTCATCTACAATAGATAGACAGAATAAATAAATGGATAAATGAACAAATAAATGAGTGAATGAATTAATGATGAAATAAATGAGTGAATGAATGAATAAATGAGTGAATGAATGGGTAGAGAGTAATCCAAGGGAAATAACTCCAGATAACAACTCCTCACCTTATCTGTATTCTGTTTGCGTACGTCTTCTGGAACTTTCGACGAATAATCTGATTTCTTTGTCGAGTCTTTTAATTTGATCAATTGTTTACCTAGTGTATCTTTTTTACCTTCTAATTTAGAGATTTCTTTTTTGACGTCTATCAAGCCCTGAAAAATGAAAAAAAGATTTCATGAGCACAATATCTACCATATAAAAAATTGTAAGAGATTTTCTCAATTTTTTATGTGTATCAGAGACACTGATAGCATCAATTTACACCATTCTATTTTTCAATCAGACGTCTGTGGTTCTCACAATTCTACTAAAACTAAGTGTTTCATGACGTCACTATTGCAGAGGCGCTACGATATCATTAGCAGCTTTTAAGATAGTGACGGAATGAAAAAGGAGGAAAACTTATGATAAATTCAAAAATGACTCGTACCTTGAGCATCAGATTTGTTTCACATTTGGTGGAGACGGTCGACATTGCACAGCCACTAGGTGGCGCCTCATTGATTAGAATATGAACACAGTTAGCGCTAGTAGACGCTTCTATCACATCGGCAAAACTGATTAAAATTTTAGCAGTAGCTTCATCAGATACTTTGAGATACACTGAAAAAAAATAGATAGGAATTAGATGAAATCAAGGGCAAGAACTCTGCAAGTCTGTAGAGTCTTTAAATAAATGAATACACTGAAAAAATATAGATCGGAATTAGATAATAAAAAATTGAACAAAATGAAATGGAGGTTTACATCAACTGTCACAGTTTGAGCTAATGAAGACAGTTGTTTATAAGGATAAAAACAATCATCATGATAGATATCAACAGATATTAGACTAAATCAAGGGCAATAACTCTGCAAATATTTAAATTTAATTAGTGAAATGGGCAGAACAATGATTCACCATAGTTACAAGCGAGACTTGATATTACAGCGCCACCTACCATCAGCTTTCTGTTTATTGAGGTTATAATCAGCTCTCATGGAACGTAAACTTTTAACTACAGATTGAACAAATTCTACATTCGCTTCTACGTCTTTCTCTCGTAGTTGTATCTATAAAATATCAAAAATAACACCAGAATTTAGTTTTATCTACCAACTGATCCTTAACCAAAACTTTTTGCAACGATTTTCTAAGGATAACAACTTATGTTCACGAGGATCCTTTCTACCAGCTGGTACTGGGTCAAACCTCTTGGTAATGATTTTACAAGGATAACAACTTAGGTTCACGAGGATCCTTTCTACCAGCTGGTACTGGGTCAAACCTCTTGGTAATGATTTTACAAGGATAACAACTTATGTTCACAAGGATCCTTTCTACCAGCTGGTTCTTGGTCAAACCTCTTGGTAATGATTTTACAAGGATAACAACTTAGGTTCACGAGGATCCTTTCTACCAGCTGGTACTGGGTCAAATCTCTTGGTAATGATTTTACAAGGATCACAACTTATGTTAAGATAAACCACTTACATCTTTAGGTAGAGGATAGGGCGTAACACATATACTGGGAGGTTCATTAGCATGTCGTCTTGGTAACCTCTGGAATAACTCCTCGGTAACAAATGGCATCATGGGATGTAATAGCCTCAATCCCATATCTAAACAAGTATACAGTACGTCGCGACAGGCTCGCTTGGCTTCTTCATCAGGGCCATATATAATAGGTTTCATATACTCCTGAAATGGATGAAAAAATATGGTTTGAAAAAAATTGACTCTCATTTGATATGAGATAAATGATTCCATATGAAAGAATTCTCAAATTAGGCTAATGCAGAGGGCAACACCTTGTAGTGTGCAATGAATGAAATTTTTCCAGGACTGTAGAATGAGACAGCACTTCTCCTTGTGATCTACCTGTCTTCATTAAAACATTTTTATGATTAGCTTAACATTAGTGCAGAAGAGTAACTGTTGTTATCAGAAACAGCCAATTTCTTTCTAACTAAAAGCATATAAGATATCAAACTATAGGTTAGTAGGTCTACTTCACTCAGGACCACAATCAGAAAACACAGCACATTCTACGTCCCTACTTTCATGTCTAGAGACGGTAAACTGAAAACTTACCAAATACCAATCACATAATTCATATAACCAGAAATTATAACAAGCCGTAGTGACAGCAGGAAAATCATAATTCTGAAAACCAGTAGCACATATTTCAACAGCTAGTGTCAGACGACTTAAAATCCATTTATCCATTACTCTCTCATTACCAGATAGCTAAAAAATTAAAAAATAAACAATATATAGTATGAGGAGGTGAAAGCTGACATTAGGAAGACTCGTGGAAGCACTGGCACAGGCATCAGAATTTCTCTTACCTTGAGGAAGATTTGAATGTGTTAGTGTTAAAGTTTTCCCTTTTTCATAAAATGAAGCCAACCCCTCGACTGTATTGTGGTACCTTGTATTTCTCTCTGATATTGAAAACCAAAAATCTAACTTACCACAAAAGAATCTGTTGGTCTGAAATTTTCACCTAAACTAAGAAGAGCGAACTTGGTAGCGTTCCATAATTTATTACAGAAAAACCTGTAACCTTGAACCCTGAGGACGTCGAGGTTAATGTCGCGACCTTGAGAGGTGTAGGCTACGAGAGCGAAACGTAACGCGTCAGTTCCACATTCTGGGATTCCGTTAGGATAATCTTTTTTCTGTCCTGTCTTCGCCTTCTCGATTTCTTTCCCCTCTAAATTACCTTCCTCTAATCTTTTATGCAAATCCTGAAAATAATTTTAAAGGTGATGCAAATTACAACAAAAACTTAAGGTGTAATCTTTTTTACCGTCTGGTTAATGAAAAATACCTCAATTTCTGAAACTAACTGTCCTGATGAGGATTTTATATCTGAAACATGTGTCATCAGTATGAGATGAGCTCTAGTCAATTAGCTATCATCAAGATAGAATGAAAAATAGCTCTCCTGATGAGGAATGTGTATCTGAAACACGTGTGTCTAAGAAGTCCGTATAATTGAATGAGATAAATTCTATATATTTACCTCTATAGTAATACCTTGTATAACATCTATAGGATCTATCACGTTACCTAGAGATTTACTCATCTTTCTACCATGAGCATCTCGTACCATCGCGTGTAGATATACCTACAATTATAACAATCAATTTATCATTTTAAATCAAGTGAAAAGTAGAGATTCTACCAGGCTTATAGCCTGGGCAAGGGGGGCATTGAACGGACAGACGGCATATAAAAAATGATTTTGAATCCCTTTAAACAACAAAATAGTTACCTCTTTAAAAGGAAGTTTTCCCATGAGTTTTTGTCCAAATATAACCATCCTAGCTACCCAGAAGAATAGAATATCATGTCCAGTCTCTAGCAGAGTTCCAGGATAGAATGATTCCAAGTCTGACGTCTGCTCTGGCCAACCGAATACACTGAAGGGAAATATACCAGATGAGAACCATGTATCTAAGACATCTTCATCTGAAAAAACAGAAATAAATTGTTAATAATCTAGATCTTCCATATTCATAGTTTTTAACAAAAAGGGCATGCTAAACTAGGGGTCCTCATTAAAATAAAAGATTTTTTGTTAATTTTCACCAAAAGTTATAGAGTTAATACTGACCCATCTACCATTTTACAATTCTTCATGGATGATCAAATAAAAAACAATAGGATACAAGAAACAGGAAAGTTGTTTACCTTGTTTTAGAGTTATTTTATCTTTAGAGACTTTAAATTTATCTGCTGCTCGTTGTTTAGCCTCGTCTTCAGTTCTTCCACTTACCCAATAATTACCATCTGTATCCTAGCAACACAAATAATCTCAAATCAAATATGGCTTCTAAAAATAATCTACAGTTCAGTACAACTATTGACTAAGTTTGATGTGATAACTTTAAATTCATTCTCACAGTGAAGTTTAGGGTGAACCATTGACAATATCACATTGAACTATCTTTCAAACTGCCATTTTGCTGGCTTTCTACAGGTTTTTATTTTAGTAATTTTTCATTAAAAGAAAGCAGAATGGTGACATAGTTAAACAAAAGTTTCAATTCCACAAAATTCAATTCATGAATTAAGATCTAGTTTTTTAATTCTATCGTACATTAAAATATCAACAAGATTACTTACTGTTCCGGGAGGAATGTTCGGGTCATCTATTTTAACGAAGTAAGCTGGTACACGATGTCCCCACCATAACTGACGAGATATACACCAATCTCTAAAATTCAAAATATCAAAAATAACATTCAAAATTTTCTTTCAACTTTTTCTCTCCCTATTAGAGATAATACAGGGCAATAACTCTATTGTTAAGATATCTATAATAATCACAACCTGTAACACAGTGATTAGTTTAATATCCTACTCTAACACAATGATATCTATAAACAATATGTTACGTATAATATACCTAGAATTATCTAACCAGCTATACCATGTTTTATTATGAACATCAGGTATTAATTTTAATTCTCCTTCTTTAACACTCTATAATAAAAACAACAAATATTACAAACTTACATATTTTACAATGATAACAACTTAGGTTCTCAAGGATGTACCAGCCGGTCAAAACCTGGCATTGATCTTTCCTGGATTATCCGTACCCATTTACAGCTGGGTCAACTGGAACAATGATTATAAAATGACAAACCATTTGAGACCACCAATTATTAGGCAACGAAGCAAACAACATCATGTACTGATTCCAGATTGTAGTTAAAGTACTATATGAAAGAATTCTACTTACTCTAACAGCCTCTGCCGACATTTCTTTCATGTCTACATACCACTGTGGCTTTAACAGTGGTTCTATTACATCTTTAGATCGACTGAAAGCAAAAAAAAAACAAATTGAGGGGTAGACTAGGGGGCTGGGCTATCAATAACAAAATTCAGGGGCGTAGGGCAACATAAATATTTCTACTGAGGTAATAAATATTCATGATGTCACATGATCTTAAAAATTGTCCAATCAACAGTTTCTATATACAGTTTGTTTTATAATTATGAACACATAATGAAACGTGTGAATATTGTATAAATATTTAGAGAGATGAGAATAATTCACAGAGAGAAGTTTACTAACCTACACATTGGTACAACCATAGGATTATCTTTTACTTCTACAAATAATCCTTTTTCTTTCAACGCTTCTAATACAGCTTTCCTAGCATCAAACCTCTTCATACCCTGAACATTGTAAAAACAACATTAATGATAGTCACGTCATAAAGGACTTGAAGTTGAAGTGGAATTGAAACACAGACGTCTGATTGCACATTAGAATGGTGTAAACTAAGGCTATCAGTGTTCTAAATCTTTCATGACATAGAAAATAGAGAAAAGGGGAGATAACAATAAGGTAAAACTTACAGCAAATTGAGCACAGTCTGGTGTCATATTACCTTTATCATCTATAATAGTTAATAGAGGTAACTTTAATCTTACTCCTACTTCATAATCATTCTGATCATGGGCTGGCGTTATTTTTACAGCACCTACAGAGAAAAATAAAAATATCACCAAATGACCTCTCAAAATCTTCTGTATTTTTTGGGGCAAATGTATGAAGTTTATATCCTACTGTTCTGTTCCTTTTTAGGAACTAATGAAATGAAATATAGCTTTATATCCTACTGTTCTGAATCTAACTGTCCTGATGAGGATTGTATATCTGAAACACATGTCAACAGCATGAGATGAACTCTTACCAAAGTGACATGTATGTACTCAAACATGCATATAAGAGATATGGGATGTCTGAGTGAAAAAGCACTGATAATTTAGTAGAAATATTTAAATTTAAATTTTATATTAAAATGTCTTCTACCCACCTGTACCAAAACTCACATCTACAAAATCATCACAGACAATGGGCAGACGACGTTCAAAGAATGGATGTTTAACGAATTTTCCATGTAGATGTTTGTATCTATCATCGTTAGGATGGACGGCTACGGCCGTATCACCTAACATAGTTTCTATACGTGTTGTAGCTACGATAATACGGTCCTCTAAAAATTATAAAACACAAGTTCTCTTTATTTATGTCCTTGGCCAGTGCTTTTCACATGCATATTTGAATCATTTGAAGTTGTTGGGAGAAATGTAAGAAATATCTTTAGAATTATTGGTTCTGAGGTTAACAAGGATTCTTTCTACCAGCTGGTTCTTGGTCAAACCTCTTGGTATTGATTTTACAAGGATATAAACTTAGTTTTAAGAGGGTCCTGCCTACCAGCTGGTAGTCCATGGTGGTCCATGTTATAATCGTATTGGCTACAAAATAATAAATAGTTGATTTAAAAGTTTTGTGAAATGAAAGTTTAAACCATACCTGAATTTTCTACAGGGTAGGCAAATGAAACAAGGACACCAAATTCTACCTTCTCTTTATATCCTGGTACTGGTAGAAACGTTCTTCCTTCTAATTCCTTCTTATCTACCTGATAATATCAACAGATAAATATTCAATCATAAATATCCGCTAAACATGTAAAAATCTGAAGAAATATTGAAAACATCAATCTGAGAAATATTAAAATTTAAAATAAAAAACATATTCTCTAAGATAAAACAAAATAGGCCATGTTTCATTTTATTACCTCACTATAAAAAACCTTCATCAGAAAAAAAACATTATATTATTAATAAGATTGATTCTACTTACTAACCTCAATATCTGATATAGCTGAATTTAAAGCACAGGACCAGTTGACCAATCGAACACTACGATAGATTAATCCAGTATCGTGAAGTCTTACAAACGCTTCCGTTACAGCTCGACATAGTTTCTGAAAATAAAATAACAGTTATAAACATTTACATATACTCCATACACAGTAATTCCTCAAAAAAAAGATTGTAGATTTGTATTTTTCAATTTCATTTGATACACTAGAATTAAACCCCCTAAAATATCAGTGAAAAACAGAAAATATTGACTGTATACAGACAATATTTCAAGAAAACTACAAGAAACTTGACTCTTTTTCAGCCAGATTTAAATGCTATGGAAATAGTCAAAAGTAAATATCAACTTACTGGGTCCATAGTAAAATTACATCTATCCCAATCATACGAACCTCCTAAACGCTGTAACTGATGGTAAATTCTGTCACCTTTTCTAAATTTAAAAAAAAAAATAATCACACAGAGTGAAAGAACGGGCCAAAATGGTTCTGTTAGGCTGAATACTCATTTTGTAAGAACCAGATTCAACTTTGATTGTAATTAATAAATTCTAAAAAACCTACTCATTTTTCCAGTTCCAGATCTGTTCATTAAATTTCTCTCTGCCGAGATCATGTCGTGTTAGTTTCTGTTCTCTCATCAGTTTTTTCTCTACCACAACCTGAGTAGCGATACCTGCGTGATCACATCCTGGTACCCATAATACCATCTTACCGTTCATACGATGCCTGTAATCATATTAAATCATGTAAGTTAAAACAATATGCAGACACTCTGTAAGAAACATTAATAGCTTTGTGGATTCTCCAAAAGTTTTCAATTTGATAAAGATAAATACCAAATAAACAATATGAGCTATGTGAACTCTTGAAAGGGACCAAGATATTTTTTTTTTTTTTTTTTTTTTTTTTTTTACGAAACCTTGACACATTTCTGGCAGCATGTTTTAGCCATGCTGAGGTTTTCGAGCACCTACCATCGAGCCAGTGTATCCTCTACAGCGTTAGTTAAGGCGTGGCCGAGATGAAGAGAGCCAGTAACATTAGGTGGTGGTATCATCATAATAAACTTATCTTCATCTTTCGTTTTCTTCGGATCTCGACCCTAGAAACAAAATAATAGATCTAAATTGATAATCAAAACTTATTAGATTTATAGGATTTTCTAAAAATCTATTGTGTATTAGAGACAGCAATATCATAGATTTGCACCATTCCAAATTTTAGACTTGTATGACGTCACTATCACAAAAGCCTTAGATATTATTGGTAGTTTTAGTGGAATAGCATGTCAAGGTATTTATAAGGAAATCTTACCCCATATTCAGGTTTGAAGAATCCTTCCTTTACCCACCAATCATACCAGGCAGCTTCTACGAAACTAGGACTGTAAGAGTCAGGCATTGTACCCAACGTATCTAGAATAATAAAATAAACACATACTTTATATTCTGGTGATTAAAAAAATAAGTTTTCAAAATTCACTTTGCTCAGATGCTTAAATCCTAGATATAAATAGAAAGTTAAAGGGACAGGTTTGCCATTCGTGTGACCAATTATACCTCAGTCTCAGAAAAACGGAAAATTTAGCTTAGCTAATCCGTAATAGTTTTCACAGCTCACTGTCGAAATTTGAAAGTTAAAAAGACAACTCGTCATTTCATCGAAGTTTAGACAATCGCATAAACTTATTGGGCTGTCGGCATGTTTTGAACATACAATCCTCATCAGGACAACTGGCCTGGTAGCAAAATAAATAACTCTCTACCTTTTCTGTCTCCTTTGTTAGTCTTAATATCATATCTTATCACTTCCTTCTTTTCTTTTTTCTCCTTCTTCTTTTTCTACGAATAAAAACAAACCAAATACATTAATAAAATAGCTAAGTAAGTGGATTCTATGCTTCTCTGTAAAAGAATTTAAAGTTGGTTTATACAGTGAAAAAGTAGCAACAGTTGCTGATATTTGCTGCACCTATCAAGATAACTCAAACGAACCAGGCAAATTAAGGCCTCTTAGCTTATATAAGGGGAGGCAACTCAGATTATAATAGGGGAGATAATCCAATATGCCTTAGAGTAATTTAAGGGCGTCCAACCTCTGTACTGCCTTCATCTTTCTTGCTCTGAGCTTCTTGGGCTTGTTTCTTTTCCAAAAATTTCTTCATTTTTTCCTCTTTCTCTCTCTCCTTTTCTTTTTTCTTCATCAACTTTTTCAGTTCCTTTTCGCTCATATTTGCTGGATCGATAACCGGCTCCCCGCTGGCAGGAGTCGGGATGTCGGCTTCGGACATGATTTAAGCGAGTTGTGTCTGTTATCTAAAGCCTGAAATTTAATCCTGATTATTTGTATGATGAAATCAAACTAAATTTAAAAGTTGTTTACACTTTTCGGCAATATGTTGCGTGAGACACCTCATACGACACTCGCGCACATGTAGCTTCCGGTTGTAAAAATGATGGCCAACATTTTTTGCAACCGATAAATTTAAATTTATTCTTTAAATCCAAAGTAAAAATGTGTTTTTAAATTGTTGAGAATTGTCCAAATCTGACCGTGTACTGAATTCTGATGCATAAAACAAATTATATAATTTTGTAACCAACTATATTTGTTGTGCATCATTCCCAACATGTTTACATAAATCCAAGATGGCTGCGCCCATAAGACAAATTTCGATCTTAAAAGGTTTTCCCTTAAAATCTAAAGTGCCTTTGAATGGGAGGCAGTCAAATAGCTCAAAAATCTCCAACATGTCTCAAGAAACACAACGGTTCATGTCAACTTCAAAATTGAATCAAAGTTTTTGGAAAAAGTCTGGTAAAAGGTTAGCAATGGCAGGAGCTCTTGCCCTTGGAGGAGGGGCACTGACCTTAGGGTTCAGATGGAATCGAATGATTGTCCGTGCTGATTCGTCTGCTGCACCAAACTTTACTCCAACAAAATTGGTAAGTATGGGCCTGTATTTTAACAGGGTAAAACTGTCCTTCTGCATTAAGATCCTGGCTCTAGTCTGTGTGTAGATCTCCATTGCATTAATCATTATATAAGGCAGAGGCAAAATTCTTAATTTCTCCAGATGGACTTTAACTTATCATCTAGCAACCAACAATATTTTAAAAAAAAAACATAACGGTAATACCAAATCGTGTAAACTCTACAAATGACATACATCAACATTTTGGGTTTATTTTTCAGATTCGATATAACAAAGACAACCACGGTTTAAAATTAACGTTATTTCAATTTCAAACTTGTCCATTCTGCTGTAAAACACGAGCCTTCCTTGACTATTATGGGATATCTTATGACGTAGTAGAAGTAAACTCGGTCACTAAGAAACAGTTAAAATGGTCTCAGTATAAAAAAGTACCAGTATTAGTTGTTAATGGAGTTGGAAAGGATGGTTTTCTTGTAAGTTTTGTTACAATTTTACTATCTTAAGAAAGTTTGTCCCAAGACATGATATACGGAAGTGACACTGTTTGTGACCTAATTACTTAAATAATTAGCAACTTTTCGAGGACGACATCTGTATAAGAAAGAAAGAAAAAAAGAAAACACATAACAGCTTAAGATCTGAAGGATCCTGTCTACCAGCTAGTCCTTGGTCAAACCTCTTGGCATTGATCTTTCCTGGATTATTAGCTTTACAGCTGGGTCAACTGGAATTTCTTATTCAAGGTCATCAGACATTCACTGATGGAGATGAGAACCCATGACCACTTGTGTCCAGTTTTTTATTCTTCAATAACTAAAGGCTATTAAAGAAAATATTTGTCTATTTTTCATTTCAGCAATTGAATGAATCATCAGTAATAATGAGTTTACTAGAATCTTATTTAATCAACCCAAAATATAAACTAGAAGAATTGAAGAGTTATTACCCTTGTATAGAATCGAAGGAGGGAAGAAAGGTGGTGTACGATTTCCCGAATAGATATTATGTTATGTATGGAGCAGACGTAACTAAACAAGTCTACGATGAGAGAAAGTGAGTATTTGAGTGTGATAGTCTGGGTAGATGTTAGGGGTGGGGTTAGGGTGAGGGTTAGGGGTGGGGGGAAGGCTAAGGAGGGGTAGGATAGAAAGTGAGATTGAGGAATGGTGTGTCACTATTTCACAACTCCCAGTCTCAGGAGTAGGATGGCCCCTACTCTTTCAAGGCTAAGTGCATAGGAGGGGGATCTGAAAGTGTATCAACATTCCCACCCTGAATAGGTGGTGCTGGGGCAGGAAGTCACATTGGCCTGCCCAGCCACTATATCTCAGACTTTGGCACTGGGGGCAGAAAGTGACATTGGCCCACCCATTATCTCTCTGTCCCTGTAGTCCTGCCAATCAATCTTTTTTTGAGCAATTTTTAGCAAGTTCAAACCATAATGTTTTTTAATTTTTCAGACAAGAAAGAAAATGGAGATTTTGGTCTGATGATAATTTAGTTCATGTTTTATCTCCCAATGTTTATCGAACTATGTCCGAGTCTCTGGCAACTTTCCGATATTTTTCTGATGTCGGAGATTGGGAGAAGAATTTTAGTAGATTTGAAAGACTGATGGTAATTTATGTTGGAGCAACTGTCATGTATTTTGTTGGAAAAATGTTGAAAAAGAAGTAAGTATATCTATTTTAGAACGTTGAACCTTATTTCACAATGAGGTCATCTCATTTTATGGCGTCATCTAGTTTAAGATATAAATTTCTTTAATGAATTTCTCTTTCCAAGATTTCCATGCACTAATCTGAAAATATATACCACATAAGGCTCTTCGGGATTTATGACATCATCAAACACTTAGTTTTAATGGAATTGCAGTAACCATAGTGGATTAAAAATGGGAAAGATGTTAATTGATGTAAATTAGAAAACCTCATTACAATCTCTTTAATTCAATCTTTCTTGTTTTTCCAGACATAAATTAAAGAAAGACGTACGAGAATCTCTGTATGATTCGTGTCGAGAATGGACCCGAGCTCTCGGAACAAAACAACCTTTCATGGGAGGCAAAAACCCTGATCTTTCAGACTTGGTGAGTCGATTTATTATTTATTACATCGACTCTGCATTTTCCGCACCAGTCTAAATGAAGCTATGTATTTCTTGTCAAGTCTGATTAAAACTATAAATGACTCAGAGCTAAAAAAAAATTGGCTCAAATTTTCTTTTCTAAATTGCTCACTGATTTGATTCTAAATATTCTGAATAAGACTTTAATTTGTTTCGTTTCCTTTGATATTTTTGTAAATTATAGGCAGTGTATGGGGTATTGAGCTCTATAGAAGGTTGTGAGGCTTTTCAAGATGCCCTGAAACATACCAAAATAGGACCTTGGTACAACAGGACTAAAGAGGCAGTCAAAAATAATCTCGGAGCATCAGTTCCACTCAGGAAATAAACCAGAACCACCTCCAATCTTAGCCAATTCTTATGAAGCTGTGAAAAAGCCCACCTTAAAAAATAAACAAGAACTGATCATTTAAGAAGCTAAATAGATCTAAAGACATTAGTTCCATAAAATAATAAATCATATTTCTGTTCAAAGATTTATAATAATTTGGGAGCATCAGTTACTCTCCAAAATAAACTAGACCTCTAAGGTAACTTCACTACTAATACCAATTTCTGATGGAAGCTCCTATAATCTAGAAGTGTTGATGTTGATGAAAATTGTGAACTGAAAACAACTTCCATAATTATTGGTGATAGTAACAATTCAAAACTCTAGTAATTATTCTTTATTCAATAAAAATCAACAATAATATTAACAAGTTCATGGGCATTATTTTATCATATTGTGGTTTATTCCCAGAATCAAGGAGTTAGCGATATTTAAAACCACATTAAGAATATTTGTAGAATAGAGATTTTGTCAGGAAACTTGTATTGTGGACAATTGTCAATAACCATGAGAGAATAATAAATGTATAAAAGTTATGAAATTAATGTTGTAAATTGTTTATTTATTGGAATGTAAATAAAAACTTGTGAATAAATTATTATAATTAATCTTTCATTTCTGTTTTTAAACTTCAGTCTTGAGTTTCTTAAACAGAACATGAATATTTAATGACTGGGATATAATAAGGTATTATTGTCCAAAAACATAAAGCGCTTAGTTTTAGTAGAACTGCAGGAATCACAGACATCAGACTGAAATTAAATTGGTGTAAATTTAAGCTATCAGTCGTCCAGATACACATAAAAATTTAAACAACCTCTCAAAAAACCCTTTAAAGAAGTTTTGACAAATGGGGGTGTGGTTTAGACACAATAACAGACAAGCTAACACTTATAATATAAAATGATTGGTACCTATCAATGTCTAAGCTGTCATAATCACCATCTTATATCTTATAGCAGATTAACATAGATTAAACAAGGTGCTGATTGGATTAATGAAATCCTAGATTAATTAGTAGGCTAATTAGGAATGACTAGGTCACTTCACTCAATCTAATATACTATACCTTCATTAGTGCAAATTAAATATTTTGTTTTAAATGCTGATGACTCAGAGTTTGATTTCAAAAAGCACAATAGGTAGTCACTTGAAGCCAAGTTGAAACGCATAATTACATAGTGACATTAAGTGACCAGCAGAATAAGCTTGGCTTGTAACATATCTTCAAAAATTACACATACATATTACAAATGATAAATCATTTCAATGAATTAATGATATATTAGAATATATAGGGGATTAAAATACTTTAGTCTTCTAAATACAAGGCTAGAAATAATTTAACATATTCTTAAAACATCCCTAATTTTACAATAAACTCTTATATATATAAATAGCACTGCATCAAATTGATTGAAAATATGCATGTGTGGAAGAGTTCACTTAAAGATTGAGGGGTGTGACCCCTAATGTCACAAATGAACCCTTCTAAACAAACATTACACTGTATCATATTGATAGAAAGTATGCATATGTAGAAGAGTCCACTTAAACTACAAGAGGTGTCAAATAAATGACTAAAACATTACTCCAGCCAGGACTAAACAGATCTATATCTAATTCTTCAAAATATCAAATCATAAGATTATTTTGTTTCATTTTCTCCACTATCAACTTTTCTCTGTCTCTTCTGAATTAGTTGACTGGTTTCTATCTTGTAAAAGTTGTTCATGGACTGCCTTGTTGTCTTGTATTAGCGCCAAAGCTCTGGCATAGAGGTCATCATTTTTCTCTTCCATGGAATTCAACACTGAGTTCAGATGGTCTATGGTTTGATCTAACGCCATATATTCTGAAAATCAAATACAAATTATGATTGAGGGAAAACTCAAATATATCTTTCAAGTGGGGACATTGAGACTTGAAATAGTCTGCAATGAGGGGTTTTAGGAATGTTGATTGTCCTCTAGTCTCTGCGACTGATAGCAAAGCAAAGTTGAAAACCTGGTGGCAGTAGCAGAAAGACATCAGGGGCTTTATTTATTCTTGAAAACTTGTTAGAATCCCTTGTATATGTAGCTCAGGGAAGGATAGATTTCAAACCTTGAACGCAATCATCCTCAATGCTTGCTACATCACTTGGATCGTCTTCTATCGGTTCAATTCCATTACTTTGAGGAATCTCGCCGTTTCCGACGTCTTTCTTGTCAGATTTTTCGTCGTCACCGTCCGCCATTTTACAGGTCATGTGATCACGAAATAGTCTCGATTGTCCAAAAGACAAAATAACAAAAGAGACTGGTTGATTGAGTCTTTATTTTGAAATGACGTCAAATTTTATTGTTTGTTGATTGGTCGAACAAGTGCCTTCACGTGACTATTCTCTTAATCGGCCATTGATCAAAGAAGACGCTTACAACTTTGAAGAAGATAATCGACGCACATCGACAAATTTTCAACACATCAGGTTTTTTTCTTTAGGTAGGTTAGTGCAGGATACATTTATTTTTCAATCGACAAATTTTAATCAGACGTCTTTACGTATTGCGGTAGATTCTTCTGTTTCAATCGAGCCGGTCAATGGCGTCTTTTTGTGATGGTTTGTTTTATTTGGACAGTAAATAGTTGTAAGATTTTCAAGTGTGTAAATGTTATTGATTATCTTGAAACTGCGTGTAATGGTTGCCCAAAGTTCTGTTATTGTATTGCGATTGAGCTCAAGTCAGAAATACTAAAACGACCAGTTTGTACCATGTCTAAATTTGGTAACTAAACAAAGCCATTTTCTTGGAACTAGCTTGGACATTACCTATCTCTATTTTGGTCTGTAGTAAGCTGCCAATAATAGTAATTCAATTAAATTTGTAAGGATCTATGAATAACTACCCATTTAAAGCAACCAAATTTTTGATTCACAAAGTTAGCTTACTTATTTCAGACTAACCTACAACTACAACAAAAACAAAATGGCAGATGATGCAGCAGAGAATGAAATCCTCGACTATGAAGATGAAGCAGAAACAACAACTGAAGCCGCTGGTGGGGATGTGGTAGCAAAGAAAGATGTAAAGGGAACCTACGTCTCTATTCACAGTTCTGGTTTCCGAGATTTCTTGTTGAAACCTGAATTGTTGAGAGCTATTGTAGATTGTGGTTTTGAACATCCTTCTGAAGGTAAAGTATTCAGATATTTATTTATTTTGGGTATTGAGTCTCCTGAGAATTTTTGAATATTGAACATGGAAGTATAGGATAAAGATAAATTGTTGATAATGATATGATTGGTAGAGAAATCATTGCTCTCCAAGAAGCCAGTGAGGCTTAGTTGGTCTGTTTTTGCCATCCTCGTTTATAGAGTGACCCTTAAGCCCATGGTCATTCCATTGGTCTGAAGAATCAAAAATGGGCATACAATAAGTAACTTCAAAAACCTTGGATTTATTTTAAGATTCTTTTCTATTACAGTTCAGCATGAGTGTATTCCACAGGCCATCTTATCTATGGATGTTTTATGTCAGGCCAAGTCTGGTATGGGTAAAACAGCTGTATTTGTCTTGGCAACTCTCCAACAATTAGAGCCAGTCGATGGACAGGTAAATTTTTGAGATGAAATTTGACCACAAGTTGAATTTAGATTTAGTGACAATAGAAAGGAATATGTCAGCTTTCAAAGCTGTAATAAGGTTATAAACTAATAACTTGGTCCAAACCTTGAGATCTGTTGTAGCATTTGTAGTACTTCATCTGTCAAATTCTGAAGCCATGGTCAATGGACTTCATTCTGACCAATGATTAAGTCTTTGTTTGATGGAATTTTAAATGTTTTCATTTTCAGGTATCTGTTTTGGTATTGGCTCATACAAGAGAATTGGCTTTTCAAATCAGTAAGGAATATGAAAGATTCAGTAAATATATGAACAATGTAAAGATTGCTGTATTTTTTGGTGGAATGAACGTAAAGAAAGATGAAGAGGTTCTGAAGAAGAACTGTCCACATATTGTAGTTGGTACTCCTGGACGTCTACAAGCTCTGATTAGAAGTAAATCTCTCAGTTTAAAACATGTCAAACATTTTATATTGGATGAATGCGACAAAATGTTGGCTGAACTCGGTAAGTTGTTGTCAGTTTTAAAAGATTTAACTTTATGACCTTGGCCAGTACGTTTATAAGTCGATATTCTCGTCACCATCTAACATAAAATTATGAGACTCCTTCACCCTCTCCACAGTAAATCTTACTATTAGATGATTCAGTGTATTTTTTTAGTAAAGTTCTAATTTCAACTTGTGTCTCAAGTTAAGAACTCTATTTTTGCATTTCCTCTTTTACAAGGCAACATATCTATAATGATAAGTGTAGGATTGATTGATGAAGTTATCTTTACCAAAAGAACATTAAATTTGAATTGTTTGAGCAAAATTATAGCTTGGAATGTCTCGAGTGTTTGAATTAAGAATTGTTTTTAAATTTTCAGACATGAGAAGAGATGTTCAAGAAATCTTCAGAATGACCCCCCACGAGAAACAAGTTATGATGTTTAGTGCTACCCTCAGTAAAGATGTCCGACCAATCTGTAAAAGATTTATGCAAGATGTAAATACAACTCCATTTTATTTTACTTCCAACGTTGTGGCCTGTCGGTGAAATTCATCAATGGGTCTTCAACTGATTCTAGATTAACTGGTACAACTTAAACTGGTTTTGGTTTTATCATGGTTCTACCACTGAATTAGGTTTATTGTGATCTGATTGGTGGAGAGGTTCTACGATCTGATTGGTTGTGGAGGAATTGTCCCTGCTTTTAATTGGTTTAGAGAATGAATCTGTGGTTTGATTTCTTAAACAGGATAACTGGAACTGGTTTCGGAGTGGTTTTAAGATTCAGCATATTAATTGGATCATTGGAATTGGGGTTCTACTTTTTGATTGGTCGAACTGGATTAATATTTGAATTCTGTTTAGGTTGATCTGGATTGATCTACTTTACCAACTAACAGCTGACTCCAGAATTAGAAATTCATTTGGGCTATTAAAAGGGATAGACAACATCTTGACTCTGACTAGTTTTTCACCAAGACAATACTGATGACCTGCCAACATCTTGACTCTGACTAGTTTTTCACCAAGACAATACTGATGACCTGCCAACATCTTGACTCTATGCCATATTTTAAGATCAACTGACAACACCTGTCCTACTTTCTTTTGTCCAATACAAACAATATATTTCATTTATTTGGCAACAGCTTCTATTTCTATTTGAATTTAGATTACATCTCATCGAATTGAGGTTAAACATCTTTTACCTTTTTTATTTTCTTGATTTATATAAACTTTAAAATCATTTAATTTGGCTACACATACTGTGAAATATGTAAATTTCAACCAAACCATAAATACATAAAAATAAGATGGTTAAAAATTTCCCTGAAACAAGGATTTCTCTACACATTGATAACTAGAAACATTGGCAATCATTTTGACTTCCTTTTTGACATTCAACAGTTTTAAATTCTGATGGAAAGACAGGATAGAATCTAACATTAAGTGTATTAACTATTTAATATTGATGGAATTCCTTGGACTATTGTATATCTTAACATGAAGGATCATTTAATTTTCTCTGAGAATTTTTGGGAGCTGTTCAACTAAACTCTATTCTCGATTACTTAGGAGATTCTCTAGTAGATTATCTACATCGCGCAGGATTTTTGTTGTTAGGGACTTGTATCCAGGAGGCACAACACGACCCAGAACTCTCAAAGTGTACGGGTCAGGTGTGTCTCAATTTCCACTAGGTCTCGCGTTCGCGTTTATACAGATGAAGATATTGTGAATTAGATGATGAATTTGCAAGATTGGAAAAAGGTGCAGAGCAATGATTCAGATGGCAGAAGATATTGACTTAAAGATTTCTTATTTCAAATGATGCATTAAGATGTTTCAACTACTAAAGTTAGATGTATGAGAAATTCTATAAAAAGATTAATTCAGGTGACGGTTGAGCTGATTCTCTAAGTGGTGCCATTAGATGTCAAAACTGGTGTACTAAACTAAAAAAAGATGTTCACCAAAAATTAGATTTCTTCCCACAAGGAGTCTGGAAAAGGCATCAATATTTTGGTCGAAATTGGTAAGTATTTAGGAAACCCAAGTCATATTGATGCCTTTTCAGACTCCTAAAAAATAATCCTTCATCACCTTCATTTCAACATCAAGAAGTGGAAAAATTCTCAACGTAAGGCTGTGTTGATTGATTCATGAATTATATAATGTATTGTAGACTTGAACAGTGTTCTAATAATCTATCCTAACTGCTCCAGCTTTGAAGTTTGAAGTGCTTCCATTAGCTTACAGACTTTCTGTTAGAATTTTTACCAGTGAAAACTTTATAAAGATGACCTACATTGTTTAGATGCGTTACTGTTTATTAGTTCAATATATATTTTGGAATCGACATTCCGTAGCTTTTTATTATGGACGTCCAGTGTAGTTTTTAATAGAACTGAAGTTAACTTTTGAGACTTGTGCCCTCAAGGAAAAGTCTACAGAAGGTTTTCAAAGAACTTTGTGTGAAAAATTGAATCAGTTACAAGTGTGATAAATGTTAAACACTCCTCCTTCCAGTTTTGTGATCCTGAAAAACTGACTGACCTGAAGATCTTGAAACCAACTGAAACGCTGTTTACCAGTTCCTTCATCAATCACCATGGAAACCAACTCATCTTTTCAATTTTCAAATTAATTTTAATTTTTAACTAAATTCTTTATAGACATTTTAAATCAGTAAAGTAATGCTAAAATTTATTTACGAATGAAACATTTAAATGTAAATTCTAAATGTAAAATTTTTGGCCCTGTATGTTTTTATTTCCCCCATGCCATTGTCTGTCTTTATTTATAGCCGATGGAAGTTTACGTTGATGATGATTCTAAACTAACTCTACACGGTCTGCAGCAACATTACGTTAAATTGAAGGATAACGAGAAGAATCGTAAATTATTTGAACTTTTGGATGTTTTGGAATTTAATCAGGTAAAATATTTTGCGATTAGTGACGTCTTCAAACACTTTGTTTTTCTGCAATTCTACTAAAACTGACGTCTGATTGAAAATTTGAATGGTGTAAATGGATGCTATCAGTGTCTCTGATAGAAATTAGAAAATCTTTTTAAAAATGATAATTACTGTATATTCTGGATTTTGTGTTATTATAATGTGGTATATTTTAATTACAGGTGATAATATTCGTCAAGAGTGTACAAAGATGTATGGCCCTAGCTCAGTTACTTCAAGAACAGAATTTCCCTGCTATAGCTATACATAGAGCCATGACACAGGAAGAAAGGTAGGACTTCTTATTTCTGTGTGTTCCCCAAACCTCTTCCATCTAACTAAATAAAAACCTAAATAGATAAACAAAATCCAAAGTAGAATAGACAGTTTTGAACTTTACTATCCTATATTTGTATAAAACTTGATTATATTTCAGATTGTCGAGGTACCAGCAGTTTAAAGATTTTCAGAAACGTATTTTAGTGGCTACTAATTTATTTGGTCGTGGTATGGATATTGAAAGAGTTAATATTGTATTTAATTATGATATGCCTGAAGACTCAGACACTTATCTTCACAGAGTAAGTAGATATTCTAGGTTTTGACACGAGAGATGAATATGGAGGAGTATTAATATACCCAAGACAAGATCAGTTACAATTCCATCTTGAAGAGTTGTTAGAATATAGAAACTGAAAACCAAAGAAAAACTAAAACATACTGTTGGATCTGTAACAGTACACAAGGCCTAGTGCAACATCTTACCATCTCATACACAATGGATCATATTCTGACCCATGTTAAATACAGTTTATCACATGGAAAACATCAAGTTTCAGTGGCATATTTCTGTTTTTCTAGGTAGCTCGTGCTGGAAGATTTGGTACGAAGGGTTTAGCTATAACTCTGATCTCTGATGAAAATGATGCCAAGATTTTAAACGATGTACAAGAGAGATTTGAAGTCAACATAACTGAATTACCTGATGAAATCGACATCTCTTCTTACAGTAAGTATCTTGTAAACTGGTGCTTTGGGTTAGAAACTTTCAGATGTTGTGATAGAATTATTAAAAGAAATTGGTCCACTGGCTCATACATTGGTTGTCTATGAAAACAATCATGGTCAAAGGGAAATAACTCGATTTCGTTGACAGAATTGGACTACAGACCGATATTAATTTCTTTTCTGCATATGCTCACTTCCCATTAACTGGCATTACTTTTGATTCCTTAACGTTTTTAAATCTAAGCTGAACCTTTTAAACTTTCATTGTTAATTGTATGAATTCAGACCCTTGGTTGTATTGTACACAACGTTTCAACAAATTACATTATGTGAAATGTTGGTTATTTAATTTACATTATTATGTGAAATGTTGGTTATTTAATTTACATTATCATGTATTCAAGATTTACCATTTAATTAAATTGTTTTCTATTTTCAGTTGAAGGAAGATAAATTAAAGTGCTGTAACATCTTGGAGTACTAATTTGTAAAATTCACCAATAGGTGGAAATTGTTTTTATTTTTATCAAGTAGCAAGGGAATATAGTCTACTATAAAAACATTTTAATTTCATTTTTTCATGTACAAAGTTTTATGTAACATTAATCATTCTGTCTGTAAATAAATCATCTCAATTTTATTCTGGTCTCTTATTTGAATTTTGACTTGTTATAGCCTTGGTAATTCTCTTTTTGCAAAGAATCAGAGTGAGGATCAATTTTGTCCTTGTAGGTGTTTAGTGCATCTTGTCATCATTTAACACCCCTCTTTCTATTGAACTCTTCAACACATACAGAATTATCAAGTCTGGGTGTGCTTTTTGTTGCTTGTGGAGTTATACCCAATCCTGAAAGAAACAAAACATTTAATTTTGCTGAACACATTTAACTGCTTTCTCCATGGCCACAAGGCTAACAGTTTCACATCATGCTATAGAAAATGTAAGTGACATAACGATATGAAAGCGATGCAGATCTTCTATTCTAAGACAAGGGGTCATTTATAAACCCAGTCTTGTTGAGTGAGATGAGGCTAACTTAATGAAACCTGTGCCCAGACTCTTGTTAAATATCTAAATTCTTCTCGACTACAACTTTGCTGCATGGGTTGGACCAAATGACAGCTGTTGGGAACGGGTTTTTAAATTTCAAGAATTAATATTGGTCTGTAGTCGAACAGATTTACCAGTGAGTAAAATGGAGTAGTCTCCCTTAGACCATAAAAGGCAACAAAATACAGACGATTACTGGAGAGCTTTTTTTCTGCAAAGTGAGTCTTGGATTTGACACTTTCATACATGGATTTGTATGGTCTTGCCAAAAGTAACAGTATTGTGATTAAAAATTTTGTGATTAAATGATATTTTGAACGTTTCAATCCATTTTTATGCATGAAAAGAAGCGAAACTTCAAAATGAGTTGTCTGCCCACAAAACCGGAAATGCATTCCATGGCGGCGGATTTGGAGCCGTTGAGACATGTTTACTTTTTTGTTTTATTGAAGAAAATGTGTTTTACTCTGCATGAATATTGACGGAATAACCACAGATTAAACCCTGTACCTCTAGTTGAGAATTTTGCATCATTTATACCCTGTAAGTGCCTTAGAGTTTTTGTTTTTCAACTGTAAAATCTGACATTTTCATTCTTTTATTTTCTCTCGACATTTTGTTTTCTTGTGAGAGGGAGGGAGAGGGGCAACTCAGATTGTTTGCCAACAGAAGTACTAGTACGGAATTTGAAATTGGGCTGTTAAATAAACATTCAGTCCATGGTTATGTATCTTGACTCTGCCCTTCTGGTTTTTGTAAGTAGTTGGCTAACGCTGCTGTCCTGGAAAAATTTTCCTCATTGCACACTGCATGATGTTGCCCGTCTTCATTAGTCCAATATGAATTAGGGGCAGCAGAGTAGGATGTAAAACTCCATTTATTTCATTGTCTTGCTTGCTGCTCTTGCCAGCACTGCAGTGTTTAATGGCACTGACTGTCACACTGGGTTAGTTACGGACTAACGGTACCTATGTCCTACGTCCTATTCATTGTCATTGACAGATACTCACTGATGAAAGGAAGCTGTGAGGTAAAATCAAATGAAAGATAAGGAAAAGAAAGATGATTAAGCGTACAGCATGCTTCAAGCCAATTCTAAAAATCCAATAAAAATTTCAATAAATGTGTACAATATTTTTATATTTCTTCAGAATAAAGTTGGAAGGAATAATATAAAATGTGTTGAAATATTGGAGATAATATAATCGATGTATCCAAGTAGAAATCACGACTCAGCTACAGGAAAGACCAGAGGTAAGAATCTATTCTTTTATTAGGCAGTGCTTGATAAAACTCACTGCATTTTGTTTTTGTGTTTGTATCTTGACTGATATAAATTCAGTTCATAGCTTAAATTTTGCAGACTGCAAAGAAAAACTACCAGCTGTGGTAAAGGCAGTAAATATATCAAAGGGATTTGACTATTTTCTGGCATATTTGTATTGTGTATTGGCCAATATTTTTTACACAGGCATCAGATTCTGAGCTCAAAATGTCACTACAAAAATTTCAGTTGTGAAGGAAAAACTAAAAACTAGCAGGTGTGATATAAAGGCATAAGATTTATCAAGATTAGCTTTGCTTTATTCTGGATTTTTTGTGTAAATGTTTTAAACTGGGTTTATATTAAAATCTCTCTTATAAACCAGGTGTGATTTAAAGGCATGAGGTTTATCACGACATACTTTGATCTAATTCTCTACAGCAGATTTATCTAGGTTAATACCAAGTAGAAATGTGTTGGCACGAATCCAGGAGAGGGGCTGTTTGAATCCCTAATGAGTTTAAATCACAATGACCTTGACTTGGGTATTGTGTTCAAGATATTAGACTGTGATCTCAAAGTTTCTAACCTGAAAGCGCTCTATTCACATTGACTTGTAAGGAAACATTCTGTGAATAAATCAAATCATTATCAATTTTACAAATCTATATTTCATAACCTGACTGTATAGTTGAACTAGGAATTAGCCTCAATTAGCTATGAATTAGCTGTTTTAAAGTTTGACCACATTCAGTTATGACAATTGTACAACTGAAGATCAAATTTTTGCAGAATTCAATAATGAAAATGCCAAATGTACTTCTGTAGATTATTGGAAAAACTTTCTGGGGATTCCAGTTCTGAGGTTTTTGTAACCTTTGCATTTCTAATCTAATATTTCAAACTGACAACAGATATTTTCAAAAACTGGACCTTTGCCAATAAATTTACTACTATAAGTACCGGTACTATAGTTTTGGTTTAAAGTAATTAATATAACTCCAAAGATGGACAACTTTGACCAATCTGTAGAAATGAACTAAGGGTAGTATGCATGTTTTCAAAAATTCCAAAAATTCAGATATCATTAAATGATTGCTATTATTTTTAATATTGTTTTTAATTATCAATAAAACTACAAAGATAGTACTAGTATTAAAATCTTATATCAATAAAAACTCATGTCTTACAATAAACTAATCATTATAAGATTATTGAAATTACAAAATTTTATTACATTTCACTGTAGCTAGGACAGAGTATACTGTCTTATTTATAATATTTCCTCCCTGCTTTCTCCTTCATTGTCCCAGATTCAGGATATTAGGTCTGTCCCCAATATTTTTTTTTTTTAATTTTCAAATTTGTGACAAAAAGGGAACAATTTTGATGTGTATTTGTGTGGAAAAAATCACACATTATTCAGAACAGCTGATATAAATGTACAGAAAATTAGATTATAAAACTAACTGATATAAAAATATAAGATTTGAACGACATATAGAAGCGAGGAGCACATATAACTTGCCATTACATCTGATGACAACACATGTGTTGAAACGTTCTGTGCCTAACCTTATTAAAGAAGTGTGTTATATTCTATAATATTGTCTTGTGTTTTGTTATATATAAAACATAGAGATACACAGAAGGTAAAGGAATAAGAAATGTGTAAGTATAGTAAGGTATATAATATCTAGAACAGAAACATGTTAGATATATTTTATTAACTACCCTAGCCTTAGGTTAAGATTGCTACATAAACATTAATAAATCACAATAAAACGAAGACCTGGTAAATATTGGTTATTCTATTGTCAGTACCTGTCTTACTTGTTGACTATGGGGAACAATAAGTTGGCAATATGCCTAAATATTTCAATATCTACCTACCAGTAACTTAGAAATACTGGACAATCAATAAGATTGTTAATTTCTTATAGGAATGTTGTTATGTATCTAATTATCTTATAGCAGATAATATTGTGAAGTCTTTTAATTTTCAAATAGTTTTCAGGTTCATATTTGAGCATTTCGTAGAATCTGGTTTGATCTTTTTTGAGCTATTTTTTATGCTTCTAATTATCTTTTAGTGAATAATATTTTGAAGTCTTTTACTGATTCTAGATTAAATTTTCAAAAGGAGTCAAATTATTTTTGTGTTTTCATTAGAAAGATCTAACACTCCACCTTTAATTGGACTCTGTCTATCTTTAATTTGCTAGTCATGTTTGACTATAAATCTAGAAGAAGTTGTATGTTATATGAATAAAGCTCAATTTCATCTATCTGTAGAGAGCTATCTATGTAAAATCCTAAATTACAATTTAAACATCATTACTTTCCAGGTGTTAATGAATATTTCCACGTTTTGTCATAACATTACTAAGCTGCTTTGTTGCATTAGAATAACTCAGTCAGTTGTCAGTTGGATTGTTGCATTAGAATAGCTCAGTCAGTTGTCAGTTGGATTGTTGCATTAGAATAGCTCAGTCAGTTGTCAGTTGGATTGTTGCATTAGAATAACTCAGTCAGTTGTCAGTTGGATTGTTGCATTAGAATAGCTCAGTCAGTTGTCAGTTGGATTGTTGCATTAGAATAGCTCAGTCAGTTGTCAGTTGGATTGTTGCATTAGAATAGCTCAGTCAGTTGTCAGTTGGATTGTTGCATTAGAATAGCTCAGTCAGTTGTCAGTTGGATTGTTGCATTAGAATAGCTCAGTCAGTTGTCAGTTGGATTGTTGCATTAGAATAGCTCAGTCAGTTGTCAGTTGGATTGTTGCATTAGAATAGCTCAGTCAGTTGTCAGTTGGATTGTTGCATTAGAATAGCTCAGTCAGTTGTCAGTTGAATTGTTGCGATTAGGTACTGTGGGTTAAGTACTGTGTCTTTTATAGTTTTTACCAATTTAGCAGGAATTAAATAAACTGAGTGAAAATGACAGGATTAATCTGTTACTATCGTACTTCTGTCTTCATTAGTTCACAAGGTGCAGAAAAGTTGGATGTAAAACTCCATTCATTTCATTTCATTTACTGTCGTACTGTATTCACATTTTAATGATATCTTAGACTCGCAGGAATTGATCAAACTAACTGGAATAATTTGATTCTGTTCTTCATGACCTATGTTTATTGTCTTTGACTAGTCAGGTGGAATGATGGATGTATTGACATTATATTGATGTCTCCAGGCCTCTGATTCATTCTTATACAATTTATAGACACCTAATATCTGACGCCAACTAAACAAAAAAACTCTCATCAATATTACACGAATTCTTGAAATAGTTTGACAGAATATTTGTTTCTTTAACTTTGTTTTAAATACAAAATTTTAATTTTAGGGGATTGATTTAAGTGTTGAATATATGTAAATGGTCTTCAGAAGTACTGGAAATGTACAAAAATCACACAATTCCTTAAAAAATACCTCAAACTGGAAATTTACTCACTATTTCTATATATTTTCTATATATCACAGAGTATCTGAAATTGAAAAGTCGTCATTTTAACTTTCAAACACAGATAATTCTAGACACACATGGATTTGAAGGCTCAAATTTCGACAGTGATCTGTGAACACTATTACTGATTAGCTTAGCTAAAATATTCCTGTTTCTGAGATTACGGTACAATAGTAACAAAAAATGGTGCACCTGTCCCTTTAACCTCAATATGTCAAGTTTTCATTCAAGCTATCTATTGCTACATTAGGGTGTGTGAAAGAATTAAAAAAAAAACAACCCTTGGAAATTGAACATGCATGCCCTTTTCTACTGACAACACCCACAAATAACATTCTACAACTTAAAGATATCATTAAACCAAGTGTCCTTAAAATAACTTCTTCTGCTATTAATATGATATTGATTTAAAATAATGAAATATTTATAGAGTATTTAATCTTGATGTTTATTAAAAGACAAGACAGGAGACAAGTCTGGACAGATCTTGATAGAAATATCAATACAAGAGTAAAATATATAATATATACTTACAACACTACCTTTAAATAATTCACTCAATAGAATAGTCTTCAGTAGAATTGATATCGAGGTGTTCACTTCTCTTCGTATTCTCTCGTATTACTTTCCTTTAATTCATGAATAAGTGTTTATCAAAATAGTTTAAATTGGGAAATATGTGAAGGGTGTTTTTTAGTATTCGGTGCTTTCGTTAAATTCCTAAATATGCTTAAGATTATATCAGAATATTTTGAGTTGAAATTTGAAAATTTGTGATAGATTTTCTGCTTATAAGCTTATTCTAGACTTAAAGTATAATATTTGGAAATATTATAATATTTTCAACTAGAATTTGAAACTATGTGAAGGGTGTTCTGTATATTCTAGACTTAAAGTATAATATTTGGAAATATTATAATATTTTCAACTAGAATTTGAAACTATGTGAAGGGTGTTCTGTATATTCTAGACTTAAAGTATAATATTTGGAAATATTATAATATTTTCAACTAGAATTTGAAACTATGTGAAGGGTGTTCTGTATATTCTAGACTTAAAGTATAATATTTGGAAATATTATAATATTTTCAACTAGAATTTGAAACTATGTGAAGGGTGTTCTGTATATTCTAGACTTAAAGTATAATATTTGGAAATATTATAATATTTTCAACTAGAATTTGAAACTATGTGAAGGGTGTTCTGTATATTCTAGACTTAAAGTATAATATTTGGAAATATTAAATATTTTCAACTAGAATTTGAAACTATGTGAAGGGTGTTCTGTATATTCTAGACTTAAAGTATAATATTTGGAAATATTATAATATTTTCAACTAGAATTTGAAACTATGTGAAGGGTGTTCTGTATATTCTAGACTTAAAGTATAATATTTGGAAATATTATAATATTTTCAACTAGAATTTGAAACTATGTGAAGGGTGTTCTGTATATTCTTGACTTAAAGTATAATATTTGGAAATATTATAATATTTTCAACTAGAATTTGAAACTATGTGAAGGGTGTTCTGTATATTCTAGACTTAAAGTATAATATTTGGAAATATTATAATATTTTCAACTAGAATTTGAAACCATGTGAAGGGTGTTCTGTATATTCTTGACTTTAAAACTATTAAAATTAAGGACTGGAATTATAAAATGTTTCTAACATTATTTTGTATCTTCGAGTATAAAAAGGATTAGAGAATTTGCGAGTCTTTACGAATATTTTAGACTTTTGATAAAGAGTTTATTTATGCGTTTTGATTGGAGAATAATCTTATTTCTTAGATTGGATTAACTCATTTTAGACTTTTCAAATTCCCACAAATAATTTGAACTTTCGATCATTGAGTGTTTTTTTTCGTGTTGTTGGACTATCTTAAGACTTTGGATTTGTTTTAATTTCAGATATTTGGCCGTGGGATACAGATAAACTGCTTCAAACTGAGGTAGGGTTACTTTCATCTTTTTATTTGGGTTTAACGACCAGATCTACACATTTATTTGTAAGCACAGAACAAAATTATTGGGCCTTTTGTGCTAAAACTCCCTATCTATCAACACTATCCGTGGAAAGATTTCATTATTAAAAGAAACTACCTGGTTATTAATCATGACTAGATAAAGAAATATAGAAGATACTTGAAGTATTTCATTCTGTATCTTTTGTTTTCTTCCCATTGTTTCAATCAATATACATCTATAGTCAAGTTAGATTAACACTAGTAGGTAACAAGTTAGATTAACACTAGTAGGTAACAAGTTAGATTAACACTAGTAGGTAACAAGTTAGGTTAACACTAGTAGGTAACAAGTTAGATTAACACTAGTAGGTAACAAGTTAGGTTTACACTAGTAGGTAACAAGTTAGGTTTACACTAGTAGGTAACAAGTTAGATTAACACTAGTAGGTAACAAGTTAGATTAACACTAGTAGGTAACAAGTTAGATTAACACTAGTAGGTAACAAGTTAGATTAACACTAGTAGGTAACAAGTTAGGTTTACACTAGTAGGTAACAAGTTAGGTTTACACTAGTAGGTAACAAGTTAGATTAACAGTAGTAGGTAACAAGTTAGATTAACACTAGTAGGTAACAAGTTAGATTAACACTAGTAGGTAACAAGTTAGATTAACACTAGTAGGTAACAAGTTTGTCTAGCTATCTAGAGTGTTATCTGTTCTCTAAGATATTTTATATACTCTCACTGATAAATATAAACAGGGCTTGAGTCACCATTATTCTATTAACAAGTGTTAGATCAATGAAACCAGTCGGTCAAACATGACACAAAACAATAGTTAATTTATTGACCATTGATACTGGAATCAGGTCAATTAGCTACTCTTTGACTACTACCTGGCAGGCTCGCTAACCTGAAAATAGAGGGGATGGCATAGTTAGTTGGAACATTCATACTGGAATCAGTAACTTTTTGACCAGTGCCCAGCGTGGCTCAGTAAGTTGAACACTGGTTCCCTAACCTGAAGAATCATATTGATTCTTTATATAAATCCTTTACTCAATTTAAATCAATTAATTCAAACTTTTAGACACTAAATGAATTAATAATTCAGAATAAAACACATATTTTTCTTAAACAAAAATAGTAGTAGAAGAGTGTCTTATATTGAAAGGGACAAGATTGGGTTCGTTGACACCTCATGCAGTGTGCAATTGGGGAAATCTTGTCAGGACAAATTAACATTATCAAGAGATATTTAACATGAATATTCTGTTTGTTTGAACGACTTAAAGATATACTTCATCAATTCACAATGACTGATATAGATCCTCAGGGTATTGGATTGTTTGCCTGTTGCCAGTCGTGTCTGAATTGATCTTAAAACTAACAATCTTATTTTGTGAATGGAATTGGTGGAGTATTTTAGGTCAGATGAGAATTTAAAATAGAAAAAATAATCAATAAATTATCAGAGCAAGATATTTTTAATTATTATGACAACAACAATTAAAAACAATATCTTTAGTTAATCTGAAGTTTTTCATTAATTAAGTAAAAATGTTAAATCTTGAATTCTTTCCAAAAAAATGTATTGATTATGCAAAAAGTTGTAAAATCTTCAATTTTATTGAAAAGAAAAGTATGTTTTCTTAATATTGATTAGATCAAAAAGTTTTTAATTTGGCATTTTTTATAGGGACAAAATATTAATTTTATTTTGACGACAATTCCAAACACAAACTATTTGTAAAATTTAAAACTGAACTTAAAAAAGAATAATATTTTGTCTTGAATAAAAATCTTACTGCTTGACCAACCTGAAAATATAACTGTAAAAATTGTGTACTGTTGTAAACCAGCAGAGCCATGTAGTGTGCAATGAGGGACATTTTTCCAAGGCAGCTTGAGAATGTTCTGTCAGAGTTTTTAAATTTGATTTCAGGGCCAACAAAATGAAGTGACTGGAAAATCAAGACAGACTACGACAACTAGACGTAAAGTTATCAAACTGGGTAAGTTTTAAAAGACTTAAAACGTACAAGGAACTATTTAACTATGTGAACTCTCTTAAAGATTTGATTGATCCCATATTCTTTTCAAATCAAAGTATTTGGTATGAGTAAACCTTACTATAATTTTATGTTTGATTGTTGTATAAAGGGTTCTCTAAGATACATGTTTTGTCAAAACGGTAGTATTCTTTACAAGTTACCTTTCGAAAGTTGCCCTCGTGTCGATTTACAACTTCTATTATCTTGATCACAGGCAGTTTTAGATTTAAAAATAATTTAATTGTATTGAAATTAGAAGTATTTATGAAAGCCTGTATAGATCTTTAATATTGACTTTCAATAGCTAGTAATTTCATTTGAATAAAACCTTTATCTATCACAACCATATTTATAATATTATAGTCATATTATTACATACTTCATAGAACAAAACAATTTAAAAACTTTTTATATATTGTATTGAATGAAACTAAAATGATTTAAATTAGGGGGAATATTTTATTGGTGAAATATGGAGCAGAATTTTGTAATTTCTAACGTTGCTGGCACGCAGTGGCCAATGTGAATCTGGAATATAATTTTAACTTGTGCCTTCGTTTTCATGACAAGATTATCGTGTCGCAGACAAGATTTATAATATCAAACCAGTTTGATAATTGTTGCCAATTGTTTTTTAGTCTGAAAGACAGGGCATCATCGGATTCATTTTCCTTTCAATTGTATGATCTTCACGTGACTGCACGTGATCTGACTAAAGATTTTTGTCTCCTCGTATACCCACAGCCAGTTGGTGAAACACTTTACAAGACTCTAGTCACTGACAAAAAATCACCTACCAGGAAATAAAAGCATAAAGCTGACACGCACAAATTTTTATTTCTGACAAGTAGTACAGGTACATATAGTTGAAAATAGTGTCTAGGGTCTAGAGATGTTCTCAATATATAACCAGTTTAGCAGTAATATATTCTAACACTGACCAGTAATTTATGATTTTGAGTTGATAGTTTGGTATTTTTGGTATCAATATAAAATATGATATACAACTATATTCTATATACCAGGGTATTGTGTGGTGGTTATTATTTTATATCTATAGACCTGGCCGTTTATTTCTATTGGGGGTTGATAATATCTATAGGACTGGACCTTTTATTACTGTCTTAAATACTGTCTTATCAAATAGCCCTAGCCGTTTATTTCTCTTAGAGCTGGAATAATTCATAGGACTGGACCTTTTATTACTGTCTTAAATACTGTCTTATCAAATAGCCCTAGCCGTTTATTTCTTTTAGAGCTGGAATAATTCATAGGACTGGACCTTTTATTGAGGTAGCTCAAATTAGTATGTGTCGAGTCGAAGAGTCGAATAGCCCTGGTCGTTTGGTTTTTTTCTTTCAGTGATCATATTGTATATATTATAAGTTGGCTCTGTTATTTCTAATCAGAGTCACACTTGAATATTGTTGTGACAAAAAGACCTGAGCCTTTTTTGTTGTTGCAGTATTATTGTAACTGGGTTCAATTATTATGAGTTATTTGGAATCCCCAAATAGGATGCCTAGTTGACAAATCTTAATACATTTTAAACATTATGTGGACTCTCTGAAATTGTTCATATTTTCAAAACAAATTCAAGTCTATTTCAGCAAAACATTAAAAAAAGGTTATTAGCCTCTCATTGTTCTATAATTAGTCAATCAAGTCCTAAAAATCAGAACAGTAAGTCTATATAATGTGGTTAGGATTAAGCTGATTATGTTAATCTTCTAATCTCTTTATGATAATCTGTACAGGTCTAATGAGGTACATTACCCTGATACAATCTACCAGTCAGTCTTGACTGTTTAATGTCAATGTACAGAAGTTTGTTTTGATTTGGAATATTTGTGTTCTTCTGATTTGTTGTTTTGATAAAAGTAAGAATTTTCGATGTTTCTGTTTATCATAATTATAAGAAAATTTGAAATTTGTGTTGTGTTTTCTTTTAATTGTGTTTTATACAGGAGACGTGTACCCAGCTTTAGACTAGCTGTCAATAAACTATGTAAAATATTTAAATTTAAGATATTAGATATTAAACTGGGGTTGTATTTCACTCTGATTATTATTTAAATATACTCTATATTGAAATATTTAATCTAAAACTGCTGATCTATAAAATGAATTCACTCTGTTTATTTAAACTGTAGTTTAATGAACTGGTGTAATTCAATCTAACTTGTTTAACTGTTTTAAATTATTGATTGATTTTAAAACCATTGTGAATTATTTCAATAAATCAAATTGAGTTGTTTGATTTAACTAGGAGTAGGAATAAGGGCTTTTGAGTTTATTTTAATAATATTTGGATTAAAATAAGAATAGGAAAAGGGCATGTGATTTTAAATTTTTTGCCAGTCACGTTTGACATGAGTGTGTATTTGTTAACTTTTAAATGGATTGGATAAAACTGTATCTGGCTATGCATTCATGATTTAGTATTTTTATTTATTTATTTTTTTCCAGATCATGATAGATATCAAGAAGCAGACGTGAAACAGAAGTCAAGAAAATCAGAACGAGGCTATGGAACAGAACATGGTGCAGATTCAAGGGGGATAACTAGGAAACCATATCAAACCAATGGTGATTTAGACTTGATCATACAGGACAGAAAGGAAGAACATCGGAAAGTAATAGAAACACAACGTCAGAGATTACGGGAAGTGAATACAGAAGGATCTTATTTAGACAATGTGCCTCCATCTCATACCGTTTCCCAGAATTCCATAGGAGATTTGACGGACAGTCGTGCTTTACGTGAAACAGAAATACGATTTTTGAACGCCCAGACACCTGTTCCGAGAGACAATGTGAAGAAAAGTAGAGAGCCGAAACTTACATACGTGGACGTACCATTTCCAGGACAACATAATAATAATGCTCCATCAAATCACCACGGTAATAAGGATATACCTGTAACCATGGATACTGGAAGTGCCGAGAGTTCAGACCAGAATAATCGGATACGACGTAAAAAGCGAGGATTGATTGCTGATCTTCCGGAGAATAATGGTAAGTGAATTGTAAAATTTACTGTCTGTGGAAGGTCACCACTGGGACTTCGTAATATCAAAGAGCCTTATGTGATAAACCATATTTTGCAATTAGTGACGTCATCAAACATTTAGTTTTAGTGAAATTGCAGGAACCACAAACGTCTGATTGAAAATTAGAATGATGTAAATTAATGCTATCAGTGTCCCTGATACACATAAAAAATTTAGAAAACATCTTATTATATCACAATTTTATCATGATATATTAATGGTAGATATTGTTATATCCACTTGAACCAATATCACCCAACCCTGGGGAGTAAAGGTTGTACTAATGACAAAGTTATGAAAGCACTGGCACAGGACTTGATATTAAATTGGCAGGCTATACTCACCTTTTCACAATACTTAATAACACTGAGCCATGTTTCTTTAAAAACTAATGATCAATTTTTGAAAAAATAGGGCTCTTCCATGAACTGGTCATCTCTCTACATCTTTTTGAGAAATGAACATTAAAATAAGATTAAAATGAAACCTGAAACCACCAATTGTTAAACCTTAATCTGTCTCTCTTAGATTTAAACCAAGTTAGACAACTCTAGATGCTTTCCTTTGATCTTGGAGATAATCTTTATCCAGATTATCATAATCTTTGTATGATTATCCCTTTTTACTTTGATTTCTGATTTTTTGGATAAATAAACTTGAGCGTTTCTCTGATCTTACAAGATTTTCTGATAATATTTTTAACCTGTATTTTTTCTTCATTACACTCTGTTAAGTATTCTAGACTTTAAAGTTTTGATTTATTTTTTTAAGGTATCTTGTTAAGAACTTGAATCTAATCACGTGTAGGATTTTTTTCTAAATTACGTCTTGCATTTCATTGGATGATTTTACCCTAAATTTTTTGTGGATTTAAGAAATTATGATACTACTATATGAACTTTGGAAATGAAAAAAGAATTGATTTGGATGAGAAACTTTGATGATATAAAGTTCTAGAGAACTAATTAGAAATTTTTTAAAAATGTGACTTTGATGAAATATAACAATACAAGGATAATATATATAACTGAATATATATATTTGTGATTTATAAAATGTTATAATATCAGAATGGCCAAATTAAAATATAACTATAAATATCGAAAATTTAGACGCAAATTTAAAAGAATAGTCAAAGGTAAGATGGAAGTGTTTTTGACATAATTTCGGTAAAGTGAGAAATATTCTTGTATCTTTTTGATGGTGACAAGCAGTCCTTGACGTATTTTGGCTGATAAAAAGAGTTGTATTTGGAAATAGAAGTTAGTTTTCAGTATTTGGAATGTTATTTTCCAGTTCTGATTTTCACAATATTTTTTATCTCTTTTCAGATATTTTAACCAAATTAAAAGAAAGAATCAGACAACAACAATTAAACGCATCATCCTCAGGTAAAACAAGTTACTATATAATTACTAAAAAATATTCAACTTAATCATATTTTTAATCATTTATTTAGTTTGTCATTTAGTCATTCATTCATTCATTCATTCTTTCTCCTATACACTTGTTCATTTCTTTCTTCTTTCATTTATTTGGGTACTCACAATTTGATTCAAAGTGCACTAATTCATCTAGCCATCTATAGTGATGTACTATTCTTTCACCTTTTTCATTTATTCATTCAATGGTCTTTTCTACTAATCATGTGCTATTTCATTTATTTATTCATTCGTGCATACATTTGTGTGCTATTCTATTCTATTCTATTCTATTCTATTCTATTCTATTCTATTCTATTCTATTCTATTCTATTCTATTCTATTCTATGTGTAATGTAGATACAAGTAGTCGAGATGACAGTCTACTAGAGCCAGGATCCCGCCACCCCCAGCGTGTTCTACATGACCCCTATGATCCTGTTAGTATGAGACCAGGTGCTAATTGTGATGGTATGGATAAACCAACCATGACTAGAAAAATAGCAACTGGACCTACTATACCATCTTATAAAGGTAAGTACTGATTTCTACTCTGAAATTTAATTGGTCATCGCTGTTTATCTCATGGTGATATTAGGTACCGTACATGGGGTTTAAAAGTTTAATATCACCCATTTTTAGACCTAATAACTTTCATTTGATGTGTTGTTTGGTCTGGCAATTATAATTCAAGGTTACTAACTTTTGTGCTGTGTCTCTAGCAATTCTAATTTCCTTGCCCCAAAAAATTTCACTGCAAGATAGTTGATTGTGAAATAGAATTCAAGGTCACACTGGACTAGAGAAAACTAGTTAAGATATCAGAGATAAAGAAGAAATAAGATTTGATATCAGTTCACTTTCTCTGACTAATAATAATATCTGTGAAGTAGTTTGACTTTATTTGAAGTAGAAAACTTGACCCCTCTTCCCTCAGTCAACAGAAAGATATCTTATATAGGGTGGTTAGTTATATTTATTTTAGGGGCTGACTTTTACAGTAGAACATGTCTTAGAGCTAATTATATTGAACTGATTCAAAAAGGGTTTTCTAGCCTGTATGTAATTGGTGGAAAAAGTGTCTAGTTGTTCGGATGGGGCAATAAACCAAGGCCCAGTTTGCTGTAGATTGTGCACGTTAAAGATCCCTCGAAAGTCGGACATTGAAAAAGAGACGACTTATATTGCTGTTCTGCACAAAGTTCCCTCATTGCACACTGCAAAGTATTGCCCGTCTTCATTAACCCTAGTTTAAGCAGAAACTAGAACTTCCTTTGAAAATCTGTAAAGTATATTGAGATGTAGTATTTTGGGATTAATAAGAGAATATTATAATAAGGTAGAAGTTATTGAATATGAATATTGATACATTAGTATAACAAGGTGTTAATAAAGGTTTTAATAATTATACCTGTTCAGGGCTTGTTTAGTTTGTATTATATAGGTTTAGTTTGTATTATATAGGTTTAGTTTGTATTATATAGGTTTAGTTCTTATATCTTTATACAAATATTAATTAATAATAACTTACTAGTAATAAATGACCTCTTAGTTCTTATGCACTGATGACTTTGTGTTTTTTCAAGTTTTCAATGGGGTTTTTTTAACTTATATTTTCTACAGAGCATTATGCAGTTAACTATTCAAATATAATATTGTAACTTGTTATGAATGGCCTTTGTCAAACTTGATATTATGTTTCTTTAGGAATAACTTAAGATGTATTGTTTGTGATGAATCTTTGATATAATTGAATTATAATTATCAGCATAAACAGTGGTCTTTCTCTTTATTTTTGTAGCTTTCTGTAAAATATATCCCTTCTTTTGTGGTTTTTATAAGAATTATTCCTGTTTCTTTCTGCAGTATTTACCAATATTTTAAATACTCTGTTATTTACCTACAGGATTAACTGATCTGTATATAATTCTCTGTTTCTTTCTGCAGTATTTACCAATATTTTAAATACTCTGTTATTTACCTACAGGATTAACTGATCTATATATAATTCTCTGTTTCTTTCTGCAGTATTTACCAATATTTTAAATACTCTGTTATTTACCTACAGGATTAACTGATCTATATATAATTCTCTGTTTCTTTCTGCAGTATTTACCAATATTTTAAATACTCTGTTATTTACCTACAGGATTAACTGATCTGTATATAATTCTCTGTTTCTTTCTGCAGTATTTACCAATATTTTAAATACTCTGTTATTTACCTACAGGATTAACTGATCTATATATAATTCTCTGTTTCTTTCTGCAGTATTTACCAATATTTTAAATACTCTGTTATTTACCTACAGGATTAACTGATCTGTATATAATTCTCTGTTTCTTTCTGCAGTATTTACCAATATTTTAAATACTCTGTTATTTACCTACAGGATTAACTGATCTATATATAATTCTCTGTTTCTTTCTGCAGTATTTACCAATATTTTAAATACTCTGTTATTTACCTACAGGATTAACTGATCTGTATATAATTCTCTGTTTCTTTCTGCAGTATTTACCAATATTTTAAATACTCTGTTATTTACCTACAGGATTAACTGATCTGTATATAATTCTCTGTTTCTTTCTGCAGTATTTACCAATATTTTAAATACTCTGTTATTTACCTACAGGATTAACTGATCTGTATATAATTCTCTGTTTCTTTCTGCAGTATTTACCAATATTTTAAATACTCTGTTATTTACCTACAGGATTAACTGATCTGTATATAATTCTCTGTTTCTTTCTGCAGTATTTACCAATATTTTAAATACTCTGTTATTTACCTACAGGATTAACTGATCTATATATAATTCTCTGTTTCTTTCTGCAGTATTTACCAATATTTTAAATACTCTGTTATTTACCTACAGGATTAACTGATCTGTATATAATTCTCTGTTTCTTGAACATTTGACAATATTGAAAGTATTCTGATTTTTCTGTAGGATTTGCGGATGTTGGAACTACTAGTGATAGTAAACAGTCATCACGACCTGTATCTCAATCAACCCCTATCCTTGTTAAAAAGAAAATTAAAAAACCTCCACCGTCTGTTAATATACAACCTAGAAAATATGAAATGTACGGCACAGGTAAGTTTAGAACTTTTAATATATTTTTAAACTTTGTGTTCAAAAAGACACTTTGCCAAAAATTACAAAGATATGAAATAAATTAACAAGTGATCGAGTGATGTAATTTGAATATTATGCAAATGATATGTAAATTAGATGGTAATGTTAGTCTGACAGTCTTACTTCAAGAAGTCAATGTTTGTGAGATAGCTACTGTAAGCATCATTCCAATTTTCAGTCCACATTGATTAATTTAAAAGGTAAATAAGAAATAGTGTTTGTTTTTTTTAGAATACCCCTCGAGTGGAGAATCAGGCTTGTCTTCTACAGAAAAACCTAAAAAACCTACAAGAGTTATTTCTACAGACAGGAAAAACCCCAATGGTAGGTTTTAACTCTCTTACTTCATTGCATACTGATTGGGTTTAACTGTCAAAAAAGTGGAAAAAGTAGGATATAAAACTCATTTT